CCCTGACCTGTGACTGGATTCAGCATGGGGGGCCCCTGACCTGTGACTGGATCCAGCATGGGGGGGCCCTGACCTGTGACTGGATTCAGCATGGGGGGGCCCCTGACCTGTGACTGGATTCAGCATGGGGGGGCCCCTGACCTGTGACTGGATCCAGCATGGAGGGGCCCCTGACCTGTGACTGGACCCCGCGTGACATCCTCTGATATATTGTATTTGTGTATCAGAAACAATGTTACTAATAAAATCTTTATTTTCACATTTTCCTCCTCGTTCCTCTGATCTCCGGCAGTCTCTTTGCAGCCACTTCCTGTCTCCATGACTCCGGCGATGGCTGTGTGACATTTCTGTGGGCGGGGCTCCTGATGGTGACAACCGAAGTTCAAACCGGCTTCAATGTAACAAACGTTCTCCGACCAATCAGGTGACAGCAAATACATTGTGACCTCCTAATAGGAAACCACCGGACTGAAATCACTGATATTGTAGGAGGAGGAGGATGATTATGAGGAGGATGATTATAAGGAGGAGGAGGATGATTATGAGGAGGATGATTATAAGGAGGAGGAGGATGATTATGAGGAGGAGGATGATTATGAGGAGGAGGATTATGAGGAGGAGGATGATTATGAGGAGGAGGAGGATGATTATGAGGAGGAGGATTATGAGGAGGAGGATGATTATGAGGAGGAGGAGGATGATTATGAGGAGGAGGTATTATGAGGAGGAGGATGATTATGAGGAGGAGGATGATTATGAGGAGGAGGAGGATGATTATGAGGAGGATGATTATGAGGAGGAGGATGATTATGAGGAGGAGGAGGAGGAGGAGGATGATTATGAGGAGGAGGAGGAGGATTATGAGGAGGAGGAGGATTATGAGGAGGAGGAGGATGATTATGAGGAGGAGGATGATTATGAGGAGGAGGAGGAGGATGATTATGAGGAGGATGATTATGAGGAGGAGGAGGATGATTATGAGGAGGAGGAGGATGATTATGAGGAGGATGATTATGAGGAGGAGGAGGATCATTATGAGGAGGAGGAGGATGATTATGAAGAGGAGGATCATTATGAGGAGGAGGAGGATGATTATGAAGAGGAGGATCATTATGAGGAGGAGGAGGATGATTATGAGGAGGAGGATGATTATGAGGAGGATGATTATGAGGAGGAGGATAATGATTTTGACAGATAACATGTGACCTCCCTGGACTTCACCCTCACTGGTGTCAGGGGTTATGGTGGACCCGTCCATGGGGCCCCTCCCTGTAATGAGGGCTCTCGGTGGTAGTTTGGCATCTACTCTCCTCCTCCTCCGCGTCTCCCGGCTGTACCGAGCCAGCCAATCACGTGCCTCCTCTTCTCCGGCAGAGACGGTAAAATATTCATGACAACAGATGGCGCCGAGTGCGATGAGACGAGATCCGCCCTCGTTAGCGGGAATATGTTACACAATAAAGTGCCCGTTTCTCTAAATGCGAGGAGCGGGGTGCTGTGCGAGGAGCGGGGCCGCTGTGCGAGGAGCGGGGGTGCTGTGCGAGGAGCGGGGCCGCTGTGCGAGGAGCGGGGCCGCTGTGCGAGGAGCGGGGGTGCTGTGCGAGGAGCGGGGCCGCTGTGCGAGGAGCTGGGTGCTGTGGGAGGGGGGGGGCCCCTTCATGTGTAGGCAGCGGTCTCTCTGCATAGGTCCTTCACCCTTCTTACCCCCAATGCAGTTGCCCCGCCTCCTTCTCTGCTCCCCTGTCCTGTAAGAGCTGAAGTATCTTCCCCCACCACACACAGCCTGATTTCTGCATTCAGCATGTCTGGATCCACGCCGCCTGACATGCAGCACAATGGCTGAAGGTCGG